ACTCTTTCATCCTTCTGTTCCTTCTGAATTTTAAAGTATTTTGAGACCTTCAGTAACTCAAAAAATAAAAACCATACATACAGCCCTGGCAGAGTAGCTCAGCTGGTTAGAGCATCGTCCTGACACACCGAAGTCGCAGGTTCAATCCCTAGGCAAGGCACACACAGGTGTCAACCGGTGAATGCATAAATAAGTGGAACAACAAATCTGTTTCTCCCTTCCTTCTTCTTTAAAATTTAAGAAAGAAATCATTTAAAAATAAAAACCATATATACAGTATGTCAATTGAGTACAGGTAAAATAAGTAAGCTTGGGCAAGTCGTTAACATCTCAGTGCTTCACTTCCCTATCTGTAAAATGATGGTGATAGTCCTGACATTCCAGGTTACGTATGTAAAGCACTTTGGAACGTGCCTGGTCTATAAGCACTCAATAAAGCCATAATTAAGAAAAAAAGTACAGCTAAAAACTAACAATGACTATCATTAACTTCTGACATTACAGGGGACTATGGTTTTCTTCATGTTTCACTAACAAGACTTAATCACTTATAGTCAAAAGAAAGTAAGTTTCTTGTTTTTGTTTTGTTTTGTTTTGTTTTAATTAAGGCAAAGAAAAACCAAGAAGGTGCTTGAAGACTTAGGCAAAGAAGTGTGAAGCTATACTTCTTTGAGCACAGGAGTGAGTCAATAAAAATGGTCTCAGAAGAGCTGCAAACTACTGTGGTAGAACAAGAGAGTGGGAGTGAGGAAACCCCGAAGGAATCTAGGGCCCAGGCAGGGGCCACTGTGGCAGCAGTGAGCAAACTGAGAGGGGCTGGACCTGGCTAGTGTGGCTCTGTTGGTTAAAGTATTGTTCTGTGCACCAAAAGGTCACGGGTTCAATCCTCCAGCAGGGCACATGCCCGGGTTGCTGGTTTGTTCCCGGCTGGGGCATGTACGGGAGGCAACTGATAGATGTTTCTCCCCCTACTCTCTTTTTCCTCTCTCTAAAAATCAATAAATGTATCCTCAGGCAAGAGCTTTAAAAAAAAAAAAAAATTAAAAAAAACCAAAAGAGGCTGGATTCTAAACACCCTTCAGAAGACATATAGAACTTTGTCAGATTCAGATGCTTTGCAGGGTCACACACCCTCAGAGAGAAATGGGCAAGACAAGCTGTTTTATAGAAGCTCAAGGGCTAGGGGGTCCCCATGAGCATTTGCCTGGGAGCACGTGAACACTTCTACTATTCTGTGCAGCACAGATACAACGGAGGAGGCCAGGCCGGAGGAGAGAAAAGGAGAAGAGAAAGGGGAGTCAAGAACATTCTGAGGACCACCTGACAGGTTCAAAGCTCCATGCTGGGCCCCTGGAAAAGTGCAGAGGGGCCTAAATATGAAATGGAACTGAGGAAACAAATGGGTTACAAAAGGCAACCAGTATACCCCTTAAACACAAGCAATCCCTCTTCAAAGTCCTTCTCTGTGATCAGGTTTGTTTTCTTGATGACCAGCTCTCCAAAACAGGGAGACTACAGAATGTAATGAATTGTGAACAACCTACCAACTATGTCACTGAAAGTTATCCTCACCTTATCTCACTACAAGAGCCAAGCAGAGGCTCATTTCACTTCCGAGGGGAGGGGGCGTGGGCGGCAGGGGGGGACAGCCCACAATGCTGACAAAACGTGGCCTTTCCACAGGCGGCCAGCACATTAATAGTGTAGGACCTCAGAACCATGCTCTCTGAAGAGAAAACCTATTCCTACCTTTTAAAGCTTGTGTTTGGTAGAGAATTTTAATGTTTGATCCACTTCTCATCTGAGCTCAGAAGAGGAGACACCAGGCACCAGAGTGAAAGACTATGGGACCCTGCCTTGGCCTCAGGAAACACAAGGATCTGAGGAGCCTCACTTTCCCTGTGACTCCAATGCCCTGGCAGCAGGCCTTCTTCAAGGACAGTGTCTGCGGCTCATCCTGTCTGGTCTCACACTGGAAGCTGAGACCATGTTTTCTAAACGTGAACATGAAGAACAATGCAACCATCTACATGCTCTAACAGAAGCCCTACAGGGCTCTCAAGAGGAGAACTAGTTATGAACGAATAAAAGTTTGTTTACAAATCGTAGTTTAAGTATCCTGCACTTAACCATTTTCTACTGGAGAAAAGTGTTTTATTCAGGGCAAGGGAAGTAGCAGCCAGTAGGCGAAGTTGAAATTCTTCACAGATTTTTAATGGGACAATAACATTGTAATCAATTACATGGAATTAACATTTAACCCTTCAAAATGCTTCTTTTATTTTTGTATACAGTTTTTAAAACACTTTTATTATTATTTATTGATTTTTAGAGAGAGGGGAACTAAAGAAGGGTGAGAGAAATATCACTTTGTTGTTCCACTTACTCATCCATTTACTGGTTATTTGTTGTATGTGCCATAACCAGGGATTGAACCCACAACCTTGGCCTATGAGGATGACACTCCAATGGAGCTACCCAGCCAGAGCCAAATGCTTCTTTTAAAAAGATGTAACATGTATACAAGAGAGAGGGTGTGGGCTGTGCGGTCAGAAAAATCTCAGTTCACATCTACGGCCATACCACGCTGAACGCGCCCGATCTCGTCTGATCTTGGAAGCTAAGCAGGATCAGGCCTGGTTAGTACTTGGATGGGAGAAAAATCTCAATTCAAAGCCAGGCTCTGCAATGCATGAGCTATGCCCGGTGGGCAGTCTCCTCACCAAGAGATCTACACTCACCTCCAGGGTCTGCTAGAGAATCAATATCAGACAGCTGTTTTTACATGTGGGCCAGGTCCTACTACTCCAGTTTACAAATGAGGAACCAGAACAGTAAAGGACTCCAAAGTCACGTGGCTCAGAGCAGACTGAGTCCTCGTCCTATCATGGCAACTTCCTGTCTGAGATAAATCTGGAGCCAGATCAGCACATGTACAACTTATCCACACATGAAGAGATCTCTTTTTCTAATTAACTAAGTGAAATATACTTTCAAGTATACTTATTGAAAGAGGTAAATTTTAGGGAAAAATTACTATTGAAAAAGCCAGCTCCAATGAAAACTAGAATGACCTCATCCCTACATTAGTCATAAATCACAGGTCAACAAGTGCTTTAAAAGCCTCAAACAAATAGGGATGTGGTAATGAAACTAAGGAAACTAACAGAAAATGGGCGAAAGGCAGCCCAGATCTAAGGCTAAGAATCTATACCTCTGACTAACAAAGTGACTCATGTTTTAATCAGCATGACTCTTGAGCACCAGTTTTTCAGTGAACAATTCATATAAAGCTTCTCTCTGACCATCTGTAAAATTGAGATTTAGCTTCACAGGAGAAATAACAAGACGAGCAAATGAAACTAAGACCAAGACTAGGACAAAGCTATAAAATAAGGAACTAAAAGCTGAATTTGTTTTTTAAAAAATCATATAGCCCAGGCCAGGTAGCTCAGGTGGCTGGAGCAGCATCCCAATGCACCAGGGTTGTGGGTTCCATCCCTGGTCAGGGCACATACAGGAATCAACCAATAAACGCATAAAACAAGTGGAACAACAAATCAATGTTTCTCTTGTTCTCCTCCCCCACACCTTCCTCTCTCTCTAAAAATCAGTAAACTTTTTAAAAATAATATATATGAGAGCAATAATTTTATATTGATCCAAATGGCAGCAGTTGGTAAAGGAAGAGACTACAGAATGAGTAGGGTACAGGGGTTGTGGAGCATGGGCTGTTGATTTAAACAAAGGTTCAAGTCTCAATTCTGTTCTTGGCTATACGATCCTAGACTTGTTAATCAATTTACCTAAGCCCATTTCCCCCTCTGTAAAATGGGGTTAATACACATCCCTACCTTGTGGAGGTATGTTGAGAATTAAATGAAGAGCATTTATTATTTGAAAAGCATTTACATAATATTACTATCATTATGAGGAGACTCTGAGGATTCTAATTACCCCACAAACAATATAAAAATTTAAGTAGCAGAATATATACACATGTCTTATCTTTCTCTGGCAAATTCTTGACCTTTGTGGTAAATCCAGTTTTGATAACTGGACATATTCCCTATGTGAGGACAGTCAAGGGTAGACAGCTGAAGTCTCAAAAGATAAGAAAGGAGTCTTCAGAGAAAGCAGAAGCTGATTAACACCTTTATGAAAAACAATTACCAAGAACCTAAAGTTCATATCCTTTGAACTAGTCATTCCGTTTTTAGGAATCACTGAGGAAATAAACACAGATTATGGTTGATGTTAAAGGACAGTCAACCTAGCCATAGTCACAATGTAAAAATTATAAACCTAAATGTCCAAAAATTGGGAAGATAGTAAACAACTCTGGCATAGCCATAGAAAGCAACAGTATACAGCCATTACAAATAAGTACTGAGTAATTCCAAGAGAGTGACTGACACGGAAGGATATCTACAATACGAGGTTAAGTTGAAAGACTGCACAGAAAAGTAAAAGAAAACCACCAGACAGTGGTTTTCTCTGAACTACTAGTATTTTTCTTCTTTCTAGTTTTCTAAATGTTATACTATTAGTATACATAAAAACAGAACATCTTTGTGTTTTTTTAAAAATCATTGTTTAAATTTAAAAAATTTCTGTTTAATAAAACTGCGGCTGAAATGGCATTTGCTTGACTTTGGTCTTGGAATAAGAAATGCCACTGATAAACTAATACAGAACTAGAACAATTATAATGATTGTCCTCAAAGAAAACACTCCAAATCTAAATGCCAAAGAGCGTGAATGGGGACTGCAGGCCTCCATATGCAGTCGCTATGGTGGGAGATGATGAACTTGCAGGCAGATGTGTGCTCTTTCTAAGCACAGTTCCTTTCAGAAGTAAAACCAGGGCAAGGCTGAGAAGAAATGGGGTAGCCCTAACATATAGTCTGAACCTGTGGCTTTGCAGTCAGTTACAGACCTGCACATTCCTGAAGGACCTGCAGGCTTTCCTGGGAAAAATTCTAGTGAACTTCTCTTACCTGAGCACAACTGTTCGATCTTTGTCAGATTCAGCTGCAGTGACTCATTAATCCAGGCCAGCATGTCATGTCGACTTAGGTTATCGCTGGTGACTGATGTTGAATATACATTCACTGCCATCTTCTACAGCATGTAAGGAAAAGAGAAGGGTTTGCGTTATTAAGTATGCAAGGAAGCGCAATCATTTCCTTCCTAGAGTAACCCACAGCAGACTTGTGGAAACGCTCAATTTTTAACCCTCATCTTCTTTCCCAAGAGGCCAAATCAGAGACACCAGAACTCCAGCCATGAAACTGGATAAACATGACCTGAAATGAATTGCCCAACAACAGCCAGCCTAAAATCTACATCCCATTTTAATGTAATTGGTATAAAATTTTAAGCTACAATGAACACTAAGTAAAGGGAAGGTTAAATGCGTTATGAAGGGAGGCTGATGCACAAACAAGAATGTTGTCCGTTTAGAAAACATCAGTTCAAGCTTATTTATTAACATTACAATGTTTACAGCAGTATTCTTCCAATGGTGGGCTTTTTATTAATTCCTCTTTATAGTTTCACTATTTTCCAAATCTTCTTTAAGGACCATATCTACTTTTATAATCAAAAGTAAACTTTTCAATAACCTAAGTATTACAAGGTGGTGGCAAATGACCTTATAGTGAGGAATCCTTGTTATTAATTCTCTGTTGGGCCACCTGGAAACAGGAGGGCACCTGAGAGCCTACCAAGCCCCAGGAGTGTGACAAACACTTGTCACTTAACCCTGACAACTCTCTGCAAGGTTCACTTGATTCTCATTTTATAGATGAGGAGAATTGCAACATAAAAACCCTACAAACTGGCAACCAAGCCTGCCCAGCCTCATCATCCACATTCCTTCCCCTGGCCCAGACAGAATATGCTACCCCTCACCCTTCTGTCAGGCTTTGAAATTCATAACACACACACACACACACACACACACACACACACACACACAGAAGAAACACATTAACCTAAAATGCTATTAAATGTGGATGCCATCATCATCCTCATTCAGTCTGCAAATGTTTACCAAGCACTGTCCTAGGGACCAGGACACAGGATAAGCAGGAAAGACAAATGGCTTGTCTGCAGAGTTCATATTCTAGTAGTGAAAAGTCTAGCACGGACCAAATACACAAAACAAATGTCATTTCATACTGACCACTGAGGCAACAGGGGTGGAGGGAATATCATCACGGAAAGCCTCTCTGACAGACATTTGAGCTTAAGAATCAGAAGAAAGATCTGGAAGAACGGGGGCTATAGCCCAGTGAGCAAGAAGAAGGAAGAGCAGGAATAAAAGTGGGAAAAGAAGCAAAGCCAGATCATGTTAGGATTCTGCAGGCCACGGTAAGAAGTTTGGATTTTAGCCTCTGTTAAGTGTTGTCAGGTAGACTCAAACTCTCCTTTAAGTTTGAAAAAGATCACCCCGGCTGCTGGCAGAAAACAGACTGTGGAAGATTTAGGCAATATGAGATAAGGACAGGCCAATCCAGATCTAAATGAAACCTGGGGCAATTACCATGAGGACACACAATTATGAAACACTGGATTTCATAGTGACCTTGACACTTACAATTTTCTGCATTTCATGAGACACCAATTATTACCAATGTGGGGGGTGGGGGGACTTTGCAAATCAGGAACCATCATAAGACCTCATGCTGTCTTGTGGCACTTCATTCTGCGTCCTCACACCCCACACAGCACTTGGCAGAGTGCCTTGCATACAATGAGCGCTCAGTAAATGCTACTTGTTTTCAGGTTGGCAGGACAGTGTTAGAAAAAAATGTATCGATGTAAACTTCTTTCAGAAAGTAAACCTTTAACACTTTTAAAATCTTAAATTCAAATAATAAAATTGTGTTATTATACATGAAGCCAGCACTCTAGGTCCTGACACCACTGGGAAATTAATCCCCCACATTACCACAGTTCTTCATTCAAACCTCTATGATAGGCATTATCATACTGTACTGTCATTATCTCTTCATTTCTGAATGATTCCAGGACCAGATTTGGGCCAGAAGGCAATGTGCTGTATGAAAAGAGATGAGGATTTCAAGCAAGGAAGACCTGGATTTGAACTTGAGGATGTCATTCATTAGTTGTATGACTTTGGGCAAGTTACTTAACTTCAATGCACTGCAGTTATAAGTTCATGCCACTAATCTGTAAAGGGTAAGGTAAGGTTTAAGTGAGGTAAGATACATAAAATACTTGGCATGCTATCTAACACAGAACAGGTATTGGGTCCAGGGCAGGGAGGGACCTTGTCTACCTCATCCTCCTACCTCCAGGGCCCAAAACAGAGACCTGCCACCACCATCTCTCATCTGGACCCACTGCCACAGCGTTCAAATTAGTCTCATTGTCTCAATCTGTTTTTACAAAGCAGTCAATTTTCTGAATCATAAATCAGATCAAGTATCTCCCTGTTTAAAATCCCTGAATAAACGAATAAATGACATGCACACTGTGTACAAAATGCTATTATCAGATACCAAGGAGAGACACGGTTAAACAAAAAACATGGTCCCAGACTGAGCATTTGTAATCTGTTTTGGCAACATTCGTACATACATCAGGTATCATGTATGTCATGCTACCAAAAAATGTAAGCAGCTTGTTAAGCCACATGTGTCTCCTGACCACACCCCAGTTCTGAAAACGTTATGGCCTTTCATCATCATATAATTCAAGCCTCTTTCATTACCAGTACACTAATACCTGGTCCCATGTGTTCCGCAAGCTCTGCATCCACTAATACACGGGGTTAGGCACCCTGTGGATGTGCAATAAACATCCACTGACTTAACCAATTAATTAGCCCTTCCAGGCAATCAAAACAGAGTCCAATCTGTTTCGGAGGAAGCTCACACTTCCTACAGAATGATTCCATTGTTTGGCCTCAATGGAAGACCCCATGATGACCTGCAAACCCCACCCTTAAATGACTCCTTCAACCAGACTTCCAATTGCCTTGAAAAAGCTTCCTTGGGCCTCCCCAGTCAGCTCTCTTCCTTTAGCAGTTCTCCTAGAAGACTCCCAAACTCATTTTGATTCAATGCTAGCTGATAAGCACCCTATTACTTTCAAGACACTGCACTGAGCACTATAGAAAGCTGGGGAGGGAGATGCCACCAGAAAAAAAGCAATGTGCCCCTGGATAAACATCCTCATCTTTCTGGATCACAAATGGCACGCCTGTAAAAGGTGAACAGTATCTTCTGCACAATGTGGCAATAAGGATTAAATGAGAATCTAAGTGAAAACACTTCAGTGAAAACTACATCATGTCCTACGCTCCCTAATGCCAGAAACTGTGCTAGTCAGTCTGACATACCATGACAAAGGACACACTGGTATGACACACACTCTCTAGTTCTGGACTTCAGAGGGGCAGCATAACACGGAGGTTAAGAGCTTGGGATCAGGAATCACAGATGTGAGTTCTGCCACTTGCTGGACATCATAAAGCAAATCACTCCTCTAAGACTCTAAGCCCCTTCATTTATAAAATGAAGATACTATCTCTTAAGAGACAGAGTGCTGTATTAAATGACATAATGCCCCATCAGCCCTTAATACAATGCCTGATACACACCAAGTACCCAATTAGCAAATAATTATTACTAACTACTCTTAGAGCCATACCATTAGAGGTGGATGCCAGGCCTACTGTACCTTCCTTCAATGGGCCTCAGGATCCTCACCCCCCATATTGGGCAGAGGCCAAGCTCTGCCCTGTAGCACCCCAGAGCAACTGTGAGGCAGGAACTGGAAAAGCACTGTTCACATATTGTCTTCCTAGTAGTTACATGAAATTATCTTGTCCATGTATACATTTTCTCATTTCCTGTCTCCCCACCACAATGTAATTGACTTCTGGGGCACAGGCCTTTGCCCTCCTGCTGCTGAGTGGGTAGCCCAGCACTTAGCACAATGCTTAGCACCTAGCAAGCGCTCAAAAAACACCCAGCGAAGAAGTAAGTCCACTGGGTTGGCGTGGTTTCTGTCACTCACTGTGTTAGAACTATCAGTACATAGTATCATCACTGTCCCCATTTCACAGATGAGGAAATTGATGCCTAGAGAGCTTAAAGCACCTGCCCAAAGTCGCATAGCAGGGGAATCGAACCCAGGTTTGAATCAAACCCTGACCTCTTAACCATCAAGCAACGCCGCCTCCTACTGTGGGGGTCCTCAAAGCTCCCAGCAGGACCCACTTCAACCACACATACCCCCTACCCGATCCGGCTACCCCCGAACCTCCCTCCACTTCTGTCTGGGTTCCACAACTCAGCCACGGCCTAGAAGCCTCCATGCGCCGTGGGGCAACCCCCGCTTCCGGCCCGAAGCCCCGCCCCCTCCCCCCGGGAGAAAGGAACGCGCTACCCCCAAGCCCAGCCCGCGCGCGCCGGGTCAAGGCCCCGCCCTTCCCCCCACCCGGCCCGAACAGTACCGCCGTGAGAAGCGACCCGCGCACCGCACGCGAGGCCCGCTTGCGTCTCCCCGGTCGAGGCCCACCCGGCCGACCCCTAACCACCGCCCCGTGCCCGGTAGCTGGCTCACCGGCTCTCGACGGAACCCCGTCCACTGCCCGTGTCCGGCTCCGGTTCCGTCTTCGTCTCGTTCAAACCGTCCGACCCCGCCCGCCCGCGCGATGACCTCACACGCACCCCCCGTTACGCGACTACGTAAAGGCTCGTCATCGCCCGCCGGCTCCTTTTATAGAGACTCGGCGCCCTCTGAGGGCGGAGTCCTGTCTTTGATCGACAGCTGAGACGCCTAAGGCACGAAGAACCGAAGGCGGGGGGAGCCGGGGGAGGGGCGGTGGCGGGGGGTGGCGGGGGGTGGCGGGGGCTGCGGCCACGTGGTCTGCCACAGTCAATGAGATTCTGCCCGGGGCCGGGTGTGACTGCCTAGGAGGTGGGATCCAGTTTACAAATTCTCCCCCGGTAGCTAAAAAAAAAAAAAAATTTGGTTTTACAATGAATTTCTACAAAAATGGGTTATTAAATAAAGATACTTGATAGGGGCTTTGAGGCAAGACTTAAAAATCTCATTTCAGAGACAGGTTCTGTAACCCTATCATCTCCATCCATTTATTTTCTCAGTATGAAATCATCTTGTTTGTTTATGCCTTTTTGTATGCCTTTTCGTAAGTTTCACGGAAGCAAAACTCTTCTCAGTCCTGTTCCACCTGTGTCCTAGTGTCCTATATATATATGGATTCTTAAGAGATTTGCTGAAAGAACAAATTACCCCCACTTTACAGGAGAGGAAACTGAGGCTCACTGAGGTTAATTGACTGACTGGCTCAATATCAGAGGCTGGTCCAGGTTTCAAGATAGTTTCCTGGTCTAGATAACATTGATTCATGTGTTCAACAAATATTTATATTCCCTGGTCAATCAGGTCCTAGGGATTTGATGGTGAGCAAAAACCAGAGAGCCTCTGAGCTCTTAAAGGTTCCAGTCCGGCGGGGGAGGCACAAATCATAAGGGTACAAGTCACTGTTTAATTACAAACCAGACATACTGCTAAGCAGGGGCAGTTTTCAGCGAGAGTGATGGCACCTCAATGCATGGAGTAGGGTCCTGGAGACCACTTCTGGGCCAGGCCTCACCCAGTTAGTTGCTGAAGCCTGAGGAACTGTTTACCAGTCAGTCTGGAGGCATTTCAATATTTAAAATATAAGTACTGCTGGTTGTCTCTCTGGTATGTAGTGCTCCAAGAGTACATCATATTAAGACCTGACCTCACCTGAATACTGTAGGAAGGCTTCCCAGAGCTAACACTTGCCCTAAAAGATGAAATGTCAACCTGGCAAAAAGGTTAGTGTAAGAAAGGGCAAAGAGGAGGATATAGCAAGAGTTCTGTGCCCAAATGATTATAGCAGTAGTAGTAACATTAGCATTTAGTGAATTGATAGGAAGCATGGATAATCAAGAAAAGATTTTCAAAAGCACTTAGGAGTATCTTTACTCCATTATTCATGCTGCATATCAAAATGTGTTACCCTCGTTTGATGCAGGAGGACATTAAGTTTCCAACAGGACATTCCGTTTCCAGCAGGCTAAGTGAATGTTGTCAGTAGCAAAGCCAGCAGATCCGGGTTCAAATCCTGATACTGCTAGGAGTTAGAATTAAATGAGATGTGTAAAGTTCTTTTCTTAATTTTTATTTATTGATTTTAAAGAAAGGGAGAGAGAAACATCAATTTGTTGTTCCACTTATTTATGCATGCGTACGTGCCCTGACCAGGGATGGAAACCACAACCACGGCGTACTGGGAAGACTCTGTAACCAACTGTACTACCTGACTAGGGCTAAGACGTGTAAAGTTCTTCACCACTCCTAGCATACTAGCATGTGCTTAATACATGTGAGTGATTTCTGAGCTCCTTTTGATTTATGTCAATATTTAATTAATGTCAATTATTGTCAGCATTACCTAAAGGCCATTTTGGCTGGGGGGGCAGGATATTAGTGTGGCAGATGAGATCAGTGGAGAAACCCAAGTCAAGAAAAGCATCAAGGGCCAGAGTAGGAGTTTGGGCCAGGTTCTGGAGACACAGTGCATCACAGGAGGTTTCTGAGCAAAGGCCCCCAAAATAAAGTTCATCTCCCTCCCAAGGGACAGCTCCCAGAGAAGCGAGAGAGGGGCACGGGGTCTGCTCAGAGCACATTCTTGTCCCTGAGAAGGTGGCTAATCAGCGCTGTCTGGGTCATATTAAGACTTGCCTCCAAAGGGTCAGAGGGTAAAATGAAAAATATGCATCTTTAAGCAACTTTTTAATATGTAAAGTCATCTCATTATCACAGAAAATGTGAGTCTCCTCTCCAAAAATGAAACAAAACACTATGACTTCAAGGCCTGAGTTTTCCAAATGTATGACAAGTTTCCTTTTTATTTTTTAAATCCTCACCTGAAGATATGTTTATTGATTTGAGAGAGAGAGGAAGGAAGAGAGAAACATTGATAGCAGCCTAACTAGGGATCAAACCCGTAACTTAGGCATGTGCCCTGACTGGGGATCAAACCAGCAACCTTTTTTTTTTTTATTTTTTATTTTTTGGTGTACAGGACAAGTGCTCCAACCAACTAAGCCACCTGGCCAGGGCTACAACAAGTTCCTTGAACTCAAAAATGGTGTTGGAAGGTCTCAACTGCTTTGAGGACCTCAGGCTCATGAAGGAGACAACTACAAAAATAAGGAATTTTAATACAGAGAGCCTTGTGGTAAGATCTAGTCCTCCATCTATCCACAGGGAAGGAGGGCTCAAATTAGGGAATGGCTCCTAATCCTGCTTCAGAATGGGGGCCAAGAAGTCTTCCTGAAAGAGGTGAGAACCACAGGACTAGTCAGGCAAAGGGGAGAAGGCTGTTCCAGCCAGAGAACAGCATGTGTAAAGACTCAGAGTAAGCAGTAACCAACTCTAGTAATGCCAATCACTGTTTTGTTTCTGCAATGCAGAGAGCTCAGGGTGAACCAAAGGCCAGAGAGCAAAGGTAAGTTTTAAGGCCTGAAGCACTAGAATTTATATATACACTGCTGTTTGTCTATTTCACAATTAATCAAAAGTTTAAAAAACAAACCCAAGTGAAATGTGAGATTTGGGAAAGGATACCAGTCAAAATATGTTAATTTATTTATTATATTTATTATTTATTTCTCTTCCCCTATAAAGGCATTATTGGAGCAGTTGGCAAAATGTAAATAAGGTGGATAGACGATAAAGGAATGAATGAATGTACATTACCTGATTGTGATAAATGTACTATAGTTATGTAAAACAATGTTCTGGTCTTTGGGAAATATACAATGAAGGATTTAAGGGTAAAGAGAGATCATGTCTGCAATGTAATATCTCAGGTGGTTCAGAAAAACTACCCATCACCTAAATTCCTCAAATGTTAACATTTTGCCACATTTGTTTTGTCATCCTCTCAAATGAGACTACATCAAACTAAAAAGGTTTTGCACCAACAAAATGAAAAGACAACCTACTGAATGTTTATTTGCCATTGATATATCTGATAAGGAAATAACATCCAAAAATTTTTAAGAACTCATACAATTTAACACCAAAAAAATAAATAATCTAATTAAAAAATGCAGAGTCTAAATAGGCACTTCTCCCAAGAGGACAAACAGATGGCCAATAGACATGAAAAGGTGCTCAACGTCACTAACCATCAGAGAAATGCAAATTAAAACCACAATGAGATATCACCCCACACCTGTCAGAAAGGCTATCATCAATAAATCAACAAACAACAAGGGCTGGTGAAGGTGCGGAGAAAAGGGAACCCTCGTGCATTGTTCGCAGAAATGCAAATTGGTGCAGCCACTGTGGAAACCAGTATGGAATTTCCTCAAAAACTTAAAAACAGAACTGCCTTATGACCCAATGATTCTGCTTTTGGGAATATATCTGTAGAAACCTGAATATATGGACCCCTATGTTCATTGCTGTGTTATTTATAATAGCCAAGATTTGAAAGCAGCCCAAGTGCCCGTCAGTAGAAGAGTGGGTAAAAGATGTGGTACATTTACACAATGGAACATTACTCAGCTATCAAGAAGAAGGAAACCCTGCTTTTTGCGACAGCATGAATGGACCTGGAGAGTATTGTGCTAAGTGAAATAAGTCAGTCAGAGAAAGACCAATACCACTTGATTTCACCTACATGTGGAACCTAATGAACAAAATAAACAAAGTAGAAACGGACTCAGAGATACAGAAAACAGGCTGACAGCTATTTGAGGGGAGGGTGTTTGGGGAGCTGGGTGAAAAAGATGAAGAGATTGCCCTTGCCAGGCAATCAGTTGCCTGGCAAGTTGATTGCAGCATTGTCCTGTACAGTGAAAGTTTGTGGGTTTGATTCCTGGTCAAAGCACATACCTAGGTTGAGGGTTTGATCCTTGATTGGGGCGAGTACAGGAGGCAACCAATTGATGTTTTTTTCTTTCTTGCTCTCTCCCCCAACTCTCTCTCTCTCTCTCTCTCTCTAAAAGCAATGAAAAAACGTCCTTGGGTAAGGATTTTTTTTAAGGGTGAAGGGATTAAGCAAAACAAACAAACAAAAAAACCCCTCATAGACATGTATAACAGTATGGTAATTACCAGAGGAAAAGTAAGGGGAGGTAGAAGGTAGAAGAGGGTAAAGGGGGGGTAAATGGTGACAAAGATAGACTTGACTTTGGGTGGTGAATACACAATACAATATACAGGAGATGTGTTACAGAATTGTACACCTGAAACCTATGTAATTTTATTAACCAATGACACCCCAATAAATTCAATAAAAATTAAAAATAAATAAGAGTAAAATTAAGTAAATCTAAGAAATCCATAAAGTTAACAGAAAGAAGGAAGGAAAGAAGAAGGTAGAATGGATGGAGAGGAGGAGGGAAGGTAAGCCGGAAGAAAGTAAGAAGGGAATTGTCCTGGCTGGTGTGGCTCAGTGGATTGAGTGCTGGACTGCTAAAGCAAAGGGTTGCAGGTTTGATCCCCAGTCAGGGTACTTGCCTGGGTTGCAGGCCAGGCCCCCTCTGTAGGGGGTGCATGAGAAGCAACCTCAACATTGATGTTTCTCTCCTTTTTTCTCCCTCTCTCCCCCCGCCCCTAAAAGTAAGTAATTAAAAATCTTTAAAAATAAAGAAGGGAATAAAGTGAGAAAAATAGGCAAATTGCACCCCAGCCTGCAGAGTAGCAAGTAATTTCAAACTCCAGCAAAACAAGAAACAAAAATACACATACAAAAAAAATTAAAAATGAAATAAATAGATGCAGGTGAGTCCAAGAAGAAACAGGGATAGACTTTGGCTTCATACAACACATTCCACCCCACAATTCCTTTACCACTAACTGCGTGGCATTGCGTTTGTTATGGGACCTCTCAGTCTCAATTCTCCTACCCATTATCGTGGTGATCACAGCATCACTCCAGGGCTGCTGGGAGGGATCTCTAAGAGTAACAATAAAGCAGTTTATTTGCCCAGCATTTAGTACCTGCAAACACTCTTCCATGCACTTCACATACACTGAATCATTTGATTCACACATCAGCCTTAAGGAGTTGATAGCATTGTCCATGTTTTACAGTTGGGTAAACTGAGGCACAGAGGCTATAAATAATACCTAAGGTCACAAGTCAGCAGGGCATGAAGCCAGAATGGGCACCCAGTCTGGCTGCAGAGAGGAATCAAGGCCCAACCTAGGCCTGGAACGGAGTATCACTCAAGAAGCAGCACTTGACAAGTAAACAATAGGAACTTAAGTCCAGTGGGAGGAGACCCTGTCTGTTTGGTGCTGACCCCATCCCCCAGTCAAAGAGCTGTGGAACTGTCCAGAGGCCAGTCCCTGTACCCCCAGGCAAGATCCTATCCACCCGCATACACTCTCCCTAAAAAGGTGCAAGGGGACAAGGGGGCGAGGGGGACGGTGAGGGACACTTCAACACCAGACACTGCTATTGCTATAGCCCAGCTCCTATGAAACACTTGGGGGACACTATCCTCTCCTTCCTTTTTAAGACTTTATTATTAACACATTATTAAATGTTGGATGTTACCATCGCTACTGGCACCCAGTCATTCACACTGCGCTAACGGCTTGCCTTATCACAATACTATCCAATGCAAGTGAGGACTTGCTGCATGCCAGGCACCAAGCAAAATGCTTTACCCAGATCATACCTTTGAGCCCTTGCTCACAGGAGTGATAAGAAGTAGATAGGATTTAGGATTTAGCCTGTTAGAAGTTTAAAAAAAAAAAAAAGGCACTCCAAGAATCACCTGCCCAAAGTGACCCCAGCAACATGCCAGACACTGGATAGAGCTACAGGCAACTAGAAGATTGCTTCAGAAAAGGCCTACATGTGATGCAAAGCCCAACCCATCCCCCAGAACGGAATGTTCATTACATTCTCTCTCCTCTTTGCCACTGAGCCTGGAATCACTCGGATCCCAACCTGGTCATCTTGAGAAACCACAAAAAGAAATGCCTCGCAGAACAAGTTTCCCCCAGTCTGCCCCACAAGCAGACCAAGATACCAAGGGCCCCTCACCTGGAAGTCCTGTCCATCTCCTCTCTTGGGGTGTTGAGGCCGGGGCTGTTTATTTTGCTTCATCCTGTCCTGGCATTTGGTGCAGCACTGTATACAAGATGGCTTAACAGGGAAGCCAAGAAAGGCCCCTGGGAGGTCTCAGCACCTCAGAGAGGAATGCCAGCCTCGCTTGCTAATTGCCAATTGTCTCACCATAGCAACTCACACCTGGGCTGTTCTAGGCCAGCAGCACCTAAAAACATAACTGGCTTCTCATTCTCCACTCCAACTAGGCTTTAAGGCATACGGCTATCTAGGATTATAGCCTATCTTACATATGAAGAAACAGAGGCTCAGAGGTGCCAAGTCCAACTAATGCTCAGCTGATACACTACAAGTGCACCCCCCTTTCCTACACCTTTCTCCCAGGCGTTGGTCAGCTGGCTGACCAACATTAACTTCTGGAGGGGTACTCAAATCTCCATGGGCTCCTTTTCCCTGACCAGGATAGAGGCAGCAAGACATGAGGATTATAGCCTAGTGGGCTTGGGACACCTGGCTCAGTGATCCCAGGTAAACTAAGATTACTTCAGGGAGATGCAATGTTAAGCTTAGAAGAGCAACAAGTACATGCTCCTCCCAAAGAGCTGAGGCCCAGGGCAGCTAAATTACAATCATGGGGCCACTCCCAACTGGTCCTTTCCCTGCGGCCAAGTCCTTTCCCTGAATGTGGCTGAGTGGCAACATAACTTGAGAACCATGGAACAAGGTGCTAGAGAATCCCACAAAGGAATAAAGAACTGGGAGAATCAGCCCCGCGATTTTTGAGTCATTAATCATCTTGACCAGCTACCCAAGAGGTGCAAGAAATTGCCTGGAGATGGCTGTTCTAGACATCAAGATTTTAAATGAACTTAAACACTCCAGGCACCCATTTTGGGAACCAAGGTTTAGAAGAAACCCACTTACTAGCCCATTATGGCTGCTGGACCAGAGGCATGGAATTCTCAGCCCCCGCTCCACTTAACTGAAAACTCGAGGTGGGACCCAGAAATCTCCTTTGAACAAGCCACCCAGGAAATGCTGATATACACTGGAGTTTGGATACCAGGGCCCTAGACTTTGCCTGCTTGGCGTCACCAGGGTATTCAGCACCATGCTTGTTGAATGACTGGATGACCTACTCCAACCACCCACCTTTTCACCTTAGCCAGGCCCTCCCATGCCCCACCCATCTGACCTGCAAAAGAACAAAAGGGACACCAGACTGTTATATAGAAATACTGATTTTAATTCAACATAAAGTAAACTCTAGGCATCTTTCAGCCTAAAAATTAGCAAAACTGTTGAAACAAGGCACAATTTCTCCCCATTCTTGTTATGTGGCTCCAGTTACAAAAAAAAAATTTTATGAAAATGGTAAAACAAAAATAGAAGTCAGATTGTTTTTTTTTAAAAAAGTGTTATTAAAAAATTCCCACAAGACCTGTCAAAGTTATTCCTTATTCTACAAAATAGCACCAGTAAGACTAAAAGGTGTTAAAAACCATTACAATGGCATTTCTGAAATGCAGCTTGTCCGACCTCCTGTTATCCCTAAAACGATTTATCATGGAATAAAAAGACTTTAAAACCTCTGGAGGGAGGGTCGAGTTTTTATTGCAATTTCCCCCTGCAATCTCTAAGAGGAGGGGAATGTGCTTCTGCCCTGGCTTTCACTGCTTCTGAGTTTAGAGAAAGGCTGAGGAATTGGGGTCATACCTCTCATCTGGGGGCACTGTATCTGCGGAAGTCTGGAGGATGCACTTTGGCTGGCGGGGGGGGGGGGGGGGTTCTTACCTAAGCCTCCCTTTTTTGTCCCCACATGGAAAGAGACAGCAAGACGCCATACCTGCCTTTATAATATGTCAGCTTACAACCCAACCCACCCCCTTCCTGAGCTCCCAGGAGGGTTCTATTGCAGTCACCGGGAGGGATTTAGCGAAGGCTGGCCCTGCCTTTGGGTCTGTGGGAAGAAATAACCCTAAATGTGATAAGGTCATCCCTGCTGAAATTATCATTAGTGTGGAAAATACTCAGTGGGTCCCCAGCAGCCAAACCCAGCCCTTTATACTGAGGCCAGGGGAACCTGCTGGGTAAAAATTCAAGCATAACAGAGACATCATTTCCTCTTCTGCCCTAGGAAAAAAGTGTCCTGGCCCCTTAAAATGTCCCTTAGCTACATGTCAAACACTGCACACTCCTGGAAACAAGTTGCCACAGACATTTGAAAAAAAAAAGTCTTGCAGTAACTGTCTCGGGTGACTTTTCAGCCTTAACCTGAGTATTGGAGAGCTGTTGGCACTGTGGTTTTGGTATATTAGCCATTGTTTCTGAGCGGTAAACCCAGGAGGGGGAAAAAAAGCCATCTTTACTAACTACTTCAAGTTTCAAAGTTTTAGGAGAAGACAAAATGAGCACCATGTTTGGCCACTCCAAGCAGCCAGGTTGAATTGTGCGCAAGAAGGTGACACCTTGGGCTCCCCCTGCCAAGAGGGCGTCAGGTGGCTCTGGCGAGGTACATGGTGTGACCCCACACAGTTGAGCTGAGGAAGGGCAGAGCCTGGGTTGCACCTCCTGGGTTTTGGCTCTGCCCTATACACCCCCATGAATAGGGGACTATTCACAGGCAAAGTAGTCCTTCAAGGGGGCGAAGAGGTGTCGGATGACAGGCACACTCCAGGACCTCCCGAGCAGCTTCTGGCGGGCCCCACGGCCCATGTTGGACACGTCCGTGTAGTGTACGGGAAAGCCGAAGATCCTGGGGGGCACCAGAGTAAAAAGACAGGGAGTCAGAAGCGCCACGTCCAGCGTGCTCAGCGCCTCTGGGAGACCCTCACCGCGGCCAGCGCAGCACTGCTTTCTGCCCTTCGTCCAGGCCCACCGGGCCTCCAGGGGAGGCCTCTTTTTGGGGGAAGGCACTATTTTTTTCCCCTACTTAATTTTTATTGTCATTAATTTCAAACTTCTAGAAAAGTGACAAAAATAAAGTAGAACAAAGAATACTTATGCACCCCTTACTCAGATTCATTGATTGGCAACATTTTACCCCATTTCCTTATCATTTGTATGTGAGCCCTCTCCCTACCCCAGAGGACAGCTATACGCAGTTCTTCAGAACACAGATGTTACCAATGAGGGCATGGCTCCTCCATGAGGGCACCTGTTAAGTGCTTCCCAGCAGTACTGCCATGCTCCTGGCACATAGGTGGTGCTCAGCGGACCTTTCTCAAATGAATGAATGAACAAAGGAATGAGTGCCAAGACAGCCAGCTAGAAGACAAAGGTGTACCTGTCTTCAAACCACAAGATGTGAGAACTTGGACAATTTCGTTATTAGGAACAAAGACACCTGCAAAAATGAACCTTATTTTCAATCACTGGATGCTCAGGCAATTTGCCTAAGCATACTGAATGAAGCATCCATCCTGCATTCTCTTTCTCTTTTCAAACCCAGTTGCTGGATCAAGAGCCAGGCTGGACTCTTAGTTAATGGCAGATGGCAACCAAATATACCAAGACCCTCCTGTGTGGGATGTTTACCAGGCCTGGTAAGAGGTTACAGATACACTGGACCTTAGTCTTACGCAGGTTTGCCATCTGACACTAAAAATGACACCAATGGGCCAATGCTGAGTGGGTATTAAGAAACAGGCGAATCTGCAACACCTCAGGGCTCTGTCTTAATTTGTCTACATAATGATAGCCATCTGCTCCAACACGTGTGTCACAGGGCTGGCCCAGCACGTTAGGCTTGAGTCTCAAAACACAGTTAATCCAGGAACCACATGAGGGTTAGGGATGCTGAACCACCCCCCACCTCCATGCAGTCAAAAATCCAAGCATAACTTTGAGTCTCCCAGAATATAACTACTGGTAGGATTCTGTTAACCAGAAGCATGACTGATAACATGAACAGCTGATTTGTTTATTTGGTGGTAGTAAGTGATAAAATAACACAAGGATCTACATAAACTTTATTCACTTATGGCATATGTAACTTTTTCTTAATCTTTTCAATATTTCTAGACTACATGATTCATCTGTGAGCTTTTTCCTATTGTCACAAATCTCCAGAAAATTTTCCAAAATACTTATTGAAAAAAATCCGCATACAAGTGGGCCCATAAAGTTCATACCTGTGTTGTTCAAGGTCCACTGTACAGAATAATCCACAGCACAAGTGGGCACAGTTTCCCAGTTTGTTTCTACTAATTAGAACTTCTATACTGAGAAAACTACTGTTTAGTAAAGAATAAAACTAGTTGTAGAACTGAAATATCAGGAATGAAAACACTCAGTATCAAATCCTGCAAGACATAGCCAAAAAATGTAGAGAGGAATACTCAAAGCCCTTCTTACATTTTTAACAAAAATATTCTAACAAAAATAAGAACAAAATTAACAAGAAAAACAAAAGGAATGGGAAAAAAAAATTGAAACCAGAGTAGGAAAACTGAAATGTAAGAGCTGGTCTTCTGAATCAAAATCGATAAGCTACCAACTTAGCCAAACAGAGAAGGCACACTGTGGCTAAGCAGGAAGCAGCTACAGAAGAGTAACTTGGCAGAAGGAATCTTCTGAGAAAGAGCAATGGCATGTCAGTGGGGTTTTCTTTAGCTCGTTGCTCTTACATCCTACAGTCCCAGCATGTTGGGGCAGGCAGACATCAGGCCAGTGCAGCCCATAGACAGATGGTGCTATCTAATGACCTCATATTTCAGATTCCTCCTCACCACCACCCTTCTGCCATATCTGTTAAGAAATAAGGACAAACTCTGAAGAGGTATTACTCCCAGCCCTACTAACACAGAAGGTCAGCGGGCCCATGTAGAATGAGGCAAGAAGCCCATTTGTGCTGCTGGCCTTAACCACATTTCTTCCCTTTCTCTGTCTGCATTGTTTCCCTCTCCACATGCAGCCTCGCTCACCTTTCTAGCTCAGTGCACCACAAAACATCTTCTTTGCCATTCATGACAACAGGGAAAAGTTGGTTTTTCCCCTGTCTGATCGAGTTCGACTTGGTGGTTATTGTCTGTACTTTCTTTAACTGGAGAACAAAATGACATCATGGAGTGAGCACAGAATGAAGGGTTCTGGGTTGAGTCAAGGCTCAGACGCACCTAGGAAAGATGGGGGCGGGCGTGCGACGGTGGGGAGAGAAGGTGGCAGGTCTGGGCTCCCAGAAGGAATAAGAAAAGGAGAGTTGGAAGGATAAGAACATTTTGTGCTTCCCACAAACACCAAGAAGTTAAGGCACAGGAAGGACCAGCCTCAGAGAGAACAAGAGATAAAAATGTGATCGAGAATGAGATCACATGGGTGCCAAAGAGAACACCAGAATTACTGATCAAGCAAGGTTAAGCCAAGTGTAAAAATCCACCCAAGATTATGGAGAATGGTCAACCAAACCAGGGTTTTGATGAAGCTTAGCTAATTGTAAACATTTAGAATTAAGTTTATGGACATGTTAATATAATTATCTATGACTTGCCAGCAAGACAATTTTTTCCTTTGGCAAAGGCATTTACTCATTTCTTGGGAGGACCAGCTGAAATTGTCTGTGTCTCTATGGTGTGTGCATTCACAATTGGAAAATCTAGTTGCCTTTTCTCATATGGTGATTATTTGTTTATCAAGGATTTCTCCTACTCTGTTCTTGAGAGAGGACAGAACAATTATGTAAGGAAAGAAGCCCAGCACCAGGGAATCACATGGGGGGAGAGGCAGGAACAACTGACACCCAGGTCAAGTCCCCACTGTGACCACATCTTACCTTTGCTGTCCTATTGAACTCCAAGCAGTCCTGCAGCTCGAGTTTATCATTCTTTGATGCTATCACAGGCCTGGGAACAGCCAAAACCCATTACTTTCTACCGCCTGTTAATGGGCCTCAGCTAGGCACCTCTCAAGGTGGGAGGGAGGGCCTAAGGCTGCAAAATGCGCTCTGGCAATGGACTTGCTACAAATACACAATGAAAATCATCTCGGCATGAGCACAGCGCTGGGTGCCAAAGCTAAGGACAGACTAGACCCTTGAAGGGGCAAGCCTAGTGTCTAAAAATGAATGCTCCCCTGTCCCAAATTTTAATATTTCTCAAAACCAGATTCCCAGTGAGTAGGGCAGAATGGGGAAAGCACACTGAAGAGTCAGCATCCCAGCCGCACTGCTGAGTGAGGACCTTGGGCAAGTTACACTGGACAATGTGTCTCAGGAGCTTGGATTAGATCTTTGTGGGACTACCTGCAACAATGAGCATTTCAAAGCCACCACTTGATGGCTTACTGCTGGGGATGGAGCCACAGGAGGCCGAGGACTAAAAAATAGTGGGTGCAGGGAGGAAGGATAGGAGGTGGTTCACAAAGCCCTAATTACCCTTGTAACTTTCACCATCAAACCTGCAAATGCAGAGAGCAAACCAGTGCCCAGAAGGGGGAAAGAACTTTAGAAAAAGAATGGTTGAGCAGCTACAGAGCAGAAACCATGAAGAGCTCTGAATGCAGTTGATCAATACCGGGCAGCTCTTGGGTAAGGAACTTCAAGGTCACAAACAAACCAGACCTAATAATGGAAACGGTGCCCCTAAGAAGGCCCATTGAATCATACCAAACATTCCGCAGATCAGTGATTATCAACCTTTTTCATTTCGTGGCACATATAAACTAAATGCTAAAATTCTGCAGCACACCACAAAGTATATTTTTTACCAATCTGACCCTCCCCAAAAAAGGCATTATTTTAATTCATTCACACCATATGAATACTGTTGTGTTGGCTGTTGTCATTTTTTTTTTTTTTTTTTTACAATCTTAGGAAGAAGAGGTCAGTGCCCCTGATAAAAGTCAGGTGTATGGCATGTTTTATAAATTCTTGCAAGCACTCCAGTGTGCTTCTTATGGCGCACTGGTTGAAAATCCCTGCCTTAGGTTCAGAGTTTTCCTTGACCTTACCTTCCACATCTCCATTCCCAGATCTTCCTGTGAACCCAAGGGAGCCGAGGGGCCTGGGGAAAAGGACACAGCCTAGACCTACCTATGCTGATTCTAGGATTTAGATCTAAACAAACTAAGGCTTTTCACCTATAGGCTGGACTAGCCTCTGTGGCCCCTGGTTCATGCTGAGTCAATACTCTAGAACCCTGCAGAGCCGGCTACAGTGCTACAGCTTGGTTCTTATCACAACGCAGGCAGAAAACTTTGTGGCATCTTTGCTGAGTCTTCTTTTCATCTTAACACCACAGCACTTTCTATGCATCAGCGAATCCTGTAAGTCCAACAATCACATTATCTAGAATCTGATCTCTCCCGCTAAGTTCCACAGAACTCCCTGGAGTTGCAAGCCCCTGGGATGCATTGTGTATACAAATGGTACCCACTGGGGCACCACACAATAATCAGTCAGCTCTGTCCTCTGAACCACCATCTCATGTTTCTCTCCATTTCTGCCCTCATCCCACCATCATCTATTCTACCAGAAACTACCATGAATTTAGGAGAAGACTCATCAGCTTCAATGTCCTGTGAATTCAAGTAAATCTAAGTGGTACCATGACCCATAGACCCTCCATAACTTGGTCCATATTCTGCGTTCTGTCCTCCCCTCCCAGCCTTCCCCTAATAAGGTACACTGTTCCCTGAACTGGTCTATAAATTCCCTGCCACACTCTCTTACCCTCTTTTTTTTTTTTTTAAATCCTCATCTGAGGATATGGTTTTTTATTGATTTTGGAGAGAGAGAGGGAGACAGACACACAGACAGACAGACATCGACATAAGAGAAACAGCAATCAGTTGCCTCGCATACATGTCTGACCAGGGATCAAACCTGCAACCTTTTGGTGTGTGGGATGACACTCCAGCCGAGCCACCCAGTCAGGGCCCTTACCCTCTCCTCTTCTTTTTTCCTAGAATGTTCTCTGAAATAACTGTGGTTCATTCCTACATTCAGGTCCTTGCTGGAATGAGAAGCCTTCCCATCAACTCTCCCAATGCACCCTCTCCAGGCATGACCCTGAAATCATTTACTGTCTTCTCTACGCATCCCCATTAGGATGTCAACTCCATGAGACAAGATGTAAATCTGATGTGTTAACCACTAAACTGGGAGCAGGTACGATGGGGACAGCCACCGAGTGAGAGCTCAAGTGTTGACTGAATGAACCCGTTTCACCCTGAACATGGCACCGCACCATTTGACTGAGTAATTAGCCAAATTAAAATGCAAGAAACCAAACAAACAAACAAACAAAATCCTCCAAGCTACTCCAGTACCTTCTTGCCTCTGTCTACATTTTGCTAAATGTCAGAATTAATGCTTGAAAAACTTCCTGCTAAAGGAGAATATTTTTAACTTAACTCATTTGCAAGTCTGGAATGTCACATTACCATCACATTTTGGATCTTAATTAGCATACCACACATCCCTGAAACCATGTAGAGAAGGTAATTAATCCTCTGGAACTTGCTTTGATGAAAAATTGGGAAAAGCCCTCAGTTAAGAAAGAGCAAGGGAGACAGGCTTTGGGTGACCAACGGTCATCTCAGCCCTGCCAACTGCTTGGTCGCCACAGGCTGGTCCGGGGGTTACTTCATCTCAGGGAGAAAGGCATGTCAACAATCTCCTTCCATCTCAAAACAGGACAAGCAACTGGGAGAAGAGGTGGGCTATAGAGGATCAGCATCTCTGGCTGAGAAGAAAGCCATCTACTCCAGCACAAGGCATCGTAAGAACCAGGACCCTGGGCAGAGCAGGAAACCAGTTGGAGCAGATGGAGGCATCTTGGCCTGAGATTCCCAGGTGGTTGTACATCTTAACAGATGTCAATCCATAACACCAGGGGTTGGTCTGAAGCCCAGGGTGGGGCCATTTCTCGGCAGAGCCAGCTCCTAGGAGACCTGAGCCCGTATCTGTCTCACAAGAGTAAACCTATCAGGGCTCACACCGTTAGCTGCATTTCACTTGGCTGTTACCTGCCCCACTCGGAGTCCCTTGTTACCTGTTCATCCCAGGCAGGTTGCCCCAGAAGTAGCGGGCCCGATGAGCAGCAGACACTTTGATGGCATCAATCATCACTGGATTACACTGCAGAGAGAGAGAAAACAGCTGGCTGCTGGGAACCCACATCAGAATCCAGGCAGCAGCCAGAGAGAGGGACTTAACCTGGGCAGGGGACAGGGCTGCTCCCTGCTACAGAAAGCAGATTCCCAGTAAGATCTGGCTGGGGGTCCAGCCAAGGGATCAATTTCCATATTAGTGTTGAGGAAAGAGACCAGATCAGACCTGTAGTTCTGAGAAGGTATGCCCTGGGGCATGCCAGATTGTTACAGAACGTACAGGTGGCAAAAACAGCTCAAAACACAATCCAGCAAGTCAAGCTCCAGGTTGTGGGAATAGTGTTGGCAAAATATGCCCTGGCAGATGGGTGACAAAAAATGTGCCACCCATCTGCCAGGTTCACACAACATGAGAGAACTGGCCAGCTCTATAACCTCTCTAGCAGAACTTAAGCTGTAAAGCTTTGGGGAAAATTAAATAAGGAACGTGTATAAAAAGTATTTACTACAATGCTTGATGCACATTAAGAAGTGGATAATGAGCTTGCCTGTGGCCCTAAAGAAGCAGTTCTTGGGCCAAGGACGAGAAAAAATTCCCCAGAGTGAAAATGCTTAGTCAAATCTCATGAAGCCTCTAAAACTAAGTGATGGTTGCATGATCTGACTTCAGTGGGTTCAGGGTGAACTTAGAGATCAAATCTTTTTTCGAAAATATTTGAACTAAAAGAGACTGAACAAAAGAGAATCAACACGCCTGACTCCATTACTCTCGGATCTAGCCAACCCTGTCAAAAACCCAGCAATTATTCCCCGCATGGAAACACCTGCCAACCCTTCCCCCACCGTGTAGTCTTGACAACTGGGACCCTAGATCCCCTCACCTCCAGGAACCGAGAGATGTCCCTCTTGTCGCCAACCTTCATGGCTACCACATTCTCAAACATCCAGAAGAAGGGTCGGTCCTCACCCTCCTTGGGGCGTGAGTAATTCAGCAGGTGGTAGAACTCGAAGAAAAGTCGGCCTGTGCCCTCTGAGCCCACAAAAGAAGATGGATGGCTGGGGTCACACCCATCAGCCCACCCCTCTCCACGCTGAAACAAACGGGTTCCCGGCAATCGCATGACTGAGGGGGCACCCTGGAGCCCCTCCACGGGCAGTCCTCCAAACTACGGACACAGGCACCAAGCAGTGCAGTATTATTAAGTACCTCTGAGGATGGAGGATTCACGATGCAGCATGGACGGGGACAACAGGTGACAGTGGCCAGAAGCAAAGAGCTCCTTCGCGGCCACTCCCAGACCAGCCAGAACTCAGGAGACATATAGGGTGGTCTCCTTAGGAGACCAAAATGAAGGGATACTCACCGTACAGGCCTTTCCTGGCAGGGTTCACATTTGAGAGATCATTACATGGGCTTCCACCAATCACCAAGTCAAAGGGGCCCCATTCTTCAATCTGGGAGATAAAAATAGTCAATCTCAGGGAAGAGAAGGGAATAAGGATGGAGGAACTGACAGCCTGGGTTCCAGGTAACCTGTCAAGAAAGGGTGCCTGATGTGACCACAGGTTCTGTTTCCCCACGCCCCTGGGCCCACAGAAGGGGCGGGCACAGCTGCCAGGACGCGTGGGGCTCGGGGCCTGGCGGAGGCGAGGGTGTCACAGAGTCCCAGGGGTGCAGGCTGCACTCACATTTTTTTTTGTGATGTTCCTGACGTCATTCACATATTTGATATTGCCTTCGTGCTTAACAGTGCCAACAGCAATGGACTCTTCACATACTTCAGAAGCGACGTACTTTTCTACTTTGATGCCCAGTTCTCTGAGGACCAAGTACCCTGTTGGGGAGACAGAAAATGCACTCAGGGTCATCCTGCCTTCAGTGATTGTAAGTCCAATCCGAGACTTAGACCATGTCACCTATTGCCTTAGTGTGCTAAAGTCCTCGGAGAGCAACAGCCGACCTTATTCACGGACTCCGGCCCCTCTATGGCATAGTCAGTCACCAGGTTAGTGACACGCATATAAAAATAAAAATAAATAAGTAAATAAGAGCTTAGACCATGTAAATAATTAAGTAAATAAGAGCTTAGATCCAACAAAGACATGGTAACTCTCAAGTGACCCATGCAGATGGCACAGAAACTGCAGAGGACACACCAGGCTCTCCAGGGTGCAGGAGTTTGTGAAGAACATATGTCGTTATCAACTGGTACAGCCCAGTTAGGACCTATTAAAACTGAGAGGTCTGCAGCCAATGTCCCAGCATAATCGAACACAGATACTAGGACAGGGATCTTCACCAAACCCGTGTTTATTACATTACCTCAGAGTCTGGGGAAAATGACCACATACATTTTCTACTGTGTTTTACCTGTGCCAGCATACACAGGTCTTTAAGACCCAACAGTGTGGGGAAAAGAAGCAGCTGGTCATTAAAAGCTGTCAGTGTTTTAGGCAGGTGGACATATACAAGTACCAATGAGGCCATGAGGCTAAGCACATAGTAGCTCATTTCCACTGCTTCCCACTCTAGTAAAATGGAGGTATTCCTAATAATACATCTAAGGGCACTTCTGAGGATTAAATGAGTTCAATCAGGTAAAGCTCCCAAAGATGACATGCATGTGGGATATGCTCATTCTATAAATGTGGAAACCAGGGGAATGGAGATAGTAATAGGAGGAGTCGTCTATTAATCTCTAATATACCTACGCTTATGGAATACAAAAACTTTCCAAGGTGCCTGCACATAATAAAAAAATAAAATGAAACAGCTGAAATATGAAATATACATAACTTTAACAAGGACCAAGAGGGCCAGGTAGGTGAAATAAATAGTGGAGAGATTTAAGGAGAGAAACAAGAAGCCAGTGGTTTTCTCAGAACAGGTAACAGACAGATAATCCCAAGAGTCTTGCTTGGCACTGAGGACAGACACCTGGACCAGGTGAGCAGCCCAAGGTGAATTCCGAACTCACCTGTGGCAATCCCATCAAAGAGGGACAAGACTCGAATGGGCCGCCTTCGGGCTGCAGGAATCGCAGGGTATAACTTGGGGGCTTCCTGCCAGGTTAGAGAAGGTTATGGAGGTCATGGAAGTGAAGGTGCCAGGGGAGGGGAGGGACAGCCTCAGGGAGAGGGGTGAGTTGCCCTTGCTCTGATGGATTCTAACCCTGTGTTCTCCCATTTCTTAGATGGGATCCCCTCACAAGCTTTGGCACAGAGTGGCCATTCTATCCTTAAGATGTGGAAGGCAGAGGCTTTAAGAGACAAATGCACACACACGCAAGGACATGTCACCCTGCACAGGAATGACCTGGGACCCACCACACAGACCTGAAAAGTCCACTCCTGCTAATTAAATTGTTAGTCACAGGCTTCTCCTTCAGCAGGCCCTTGAAAATATGTGGGAGAGGAGGAAAGAGCACTAGAGAAGCCTGAGGACTGTGCACAGAACGTGCCAATTAGCTGGGTCTCTCAGGTCTGAGGTGCTCAGTCAGTCATTTGTACATGGGACTTTCCATGAATTCTTGTCAACAGACTTCCAGAGCGTTCCAGGCACGACAGTCTGGAGTGGGTGGTGCTGGGCAAAGGAGCCTGTGGCTTACATATTCGAGACCCGTGTCGCTGGTAAAGAAGGACTGCAGGCGCACATTCCAGTCCTTCCGGCGCTGCAAGACCCCATGACAGCGCTGAGGGAGGCACATGTAGCAGCTCCAGGGCTCCTGCAACTTGGCATCTGCTGCTGTGCCTGTGCCCACCAGCACCTCCAGGCACTCCACACAGAAGCACCTGTGCCCGGGAGCAGAGAGAACGGAGGCCTTTGGCATCAGGTCTTCCTCCTACGTACCCACCCTACTTCCCCAGGTAGATGGCAATGCACAGCCTGAAACCTTCTCGGGAACCCAGTTGCTCCTCCGCAAGGGCCAGAAGGTCCTATGGTGTGATGCGGGCTACACTAACATTTTCCTTCGATACCTGTGCACCCTCAGGCCACAGGCTCTGCACAGGAATGATGTTTCCCGAGAGAAATGGCTAATCTCCAGGAAGCCTTGCACACCCTGCCCCCCACCCTCAGACATTCCTGTCTTAGACAGATGACAGCCACAGCCCCTGCAGAGCAGTGACTGGGCCTCATCCCAGGTCAGTTTGGCTCCCAGCCCCTGTGCTTGATTGTTTCAGTTGGAGGAATCACGGTAGGACTTGGGAGCCTTGGGGCGCAGCTGGGTCTCACCCACGCTGGATGCTCACCGGCAGCAGCTCGTGTTGCTGCATAGGAGCAGCTCGCGGCCCTCGCAGCACACGGTGCAGTAGGACTGATAGCCATCGTCATCGTACATGTAGAACAGCTCAAGGAACCGGTCCTGGTGGCCAGAGAGAAACACTGGTGAAATCGGACACCAAGGACCACCAGGCCCCACTTGCTTGCTGGCTGAGGCTCTAGGATGCAGTTACAGGGCAAGTCACTGGTGGCTTGGTGCCCTTTATAGGAACAAGGGGTCAGAGTATGTGTGCCACTGCAGATGGCCTCCTGTGTGGCAGCACCTGCCCTCAGCGTGGAGAGCGGGGTGATGGGGGCCAGGCAGGGCTTTACTGGAACCTTCCCTAATGGCTACATGCAGGTGCTTTTCTCTGGGAAGTACAGAGAAGTCACGGAGGAGGGAAGGGGCAGGGAAGTCAAGGGTGGGGAAAGGACTTACCCGGCACGTCTGGCAGAGCCCACCCTCAAAGAGAGGGTGGAAGGACACAGGGTTTTTCCTACCACAGGACAAACAGCTGTCTGTAACAAAGACATGCATGCAGCTTGTGACAGTTCGGGACCCAATACCAGCTGCTGAAACCCTGGGCCTAATGTTCTTGAACATACACTCCACACTAGCAATAAACCAATGACCCTTCATGCTTTATTCTTTTCGAAGCTTCCAAGCTACCATCCCCACTCCAAACGTGGAGCACAACACTGAACAAAGGCCCCGCCAGCACAGGGACAGGCTTGGAAGGCCTGGTACAAAAATCTGTGATACTCTTTAGAGACTGGGACTTTGGACAGTTCGTGGTGATGTCAATTTGCTCACTGTCATATCATGAAAGGACTTACCCATGACCACACTCTACACACAGCTTTCCATAGCTGCAATTTCAGAGTCCAGGTCTTTAACTATTAGGCTACTCTGACTTCCCTTCATATCAGCAGGCCAGGACTGTTTCACATCACTGACCTTTAAAATTCGAAGTCCAAGCATTCCCAGCCAGCAAGCAGACAGATGGGGCAAAGGAGTCTTTGAGGATGGGAGAATTATGGGTGAAGGTTCCCAGGACCGTCAGGGGCTGCTCCATACCCAAGCTTTCCCTGTGGTTGTCTGGGATAGGAGCTGGATTTTTTTTCTAGCTAGCACTGAGTAACCATTCAGTAAATATTGGACTAAAGGACATGGGGTAGAGGAGGCAAGGGAGTCAACCCTTCCTCACACATTCTGAATCCCATTGGACAACATTTTGGGCAGAGTTTTGAATCCGGTGGCAATTCCCAGCTGGAACAAAGGGACAAGCGTTAGCTTGAGAGAATGACAGCAGTGAAGTGTGTGAGCCTCTCACCTCAAAGCCAGTTCAGTTCTGGTTTGGGGAGGCTCACGATGCCATAGATCATGGTTTCAAGTTTTGGGTTCTCCTGAGCAAAGGGCCCTGGTATCCACTTTGCCCTCAGCCCGCCCTTCCTGCTCATTTAGATCAGGGGCAGAATCAGTCTCAGTAAAAAGTAGGCAAGCCATCCTATAAAATATAACTAACGACTGTGACTATATACTTGTTACTTCAGGTAACAACTGAACCTGAAGTCAAGGCACAGAGCTCTGGGTTAAACCCCAGCAGGATAGACAAGCAGTAAAGGGAAGTGAGGACTACGAGGGAGAAAGCATTACCTTCCAGACTACTCTTGTTGTTGGCAACGTCCAAAGCCATTTGCTCTGTTGAGAAAAGAAGGTATGAGATGGGGTCAGGGAGTCTCTTACTGGTCAGTTATGCCACACTTCGTTGCTGAGCTGTCCTTGCAACCTGGCCCACCCCCTGGTAACGGGTGATAATAGTCCCCCGGTCTCCTCACCCCCGACAATTCACCTCGACTCTGGTCCTCCTCTCCTCGGTCTTTGCCATTGTTATAGCAATTTGTCTTGAGGCGCTTGGGTGGGGGGCAGTAGTCAGCGGAGGCGGTGGAGTCGTCAGCCGTGCGTCTTCGAGTCTTGTTCTCTGTGAAAGGGAAGGAGATGACAGCCATGGCTGGTAGAGTGGTGCAGGAAGGACACGGACCTGGGACAGGACCATGCTAGGCCCGGGTGCCCGCTGCATTTGGCCCATGACAGGGATCCACACTGAGTGTCATACGGCCCCACTATGGGATGTAATTCAAAACCCCTCATATCTAACACATTTACAGGGTTTTAAACAGCTTTAGATGTTTAGACACAGCACAAAGAACATTAGCCAAAATGATCCACAGCTGAAACCCTGGAACATTTGTCTATGCTGCCCAATGCAGTGGCTGACAGCCGCACAGAGCTACTGAGCCCTTAAAATGTGACTTGTGTGGCTGCATTTTGCATGTAATTTTAATGTGAATTTTTAAATTGCTAATCGATCCAATAAATTAGTTCAACTGGAACTTGGTCAAGTGAAAGTTTGGAACGTAAGACATTAGTGAAAATGTATTATCAAGTATTTCTAATAAAAATTTCTTATCCAAATTGAGATGTTATAAAACACATAAAATATGAGATTTTTAAAATAGTACTAAAAGGAGATGTAAAATATCTTAATTTTTATACTGACTGTTTGGAAGTACTGGATTAAATTAAATGCATGATGAATACGGATTGCACCTTTATTTCTTTTACTCTTTTCAACATGGCTATTAGAACCTTTTTAAAATTATATTATGTGGCCATGCTTTACATTTCTTTAAATTCCATTTGTATTTGTAGTCAACCTATACAGTGTAATCTATAAGGGACATGGTTAAGCTTGACTCTGCCCCTAGGAAAGAAAATTACACAGCCGTTAAAAATCATAAGGACTCTTTAGTGACACAATGACATTAGACAGGGTTTATACAATTAATATTGAGAAATAAAAGGAAAGCAGCAATCCAACTAGTGTACAGGAAAAGTTGGAATTATGTGCACACCCAACAACATTAACCTGGACGGAGGGATTGTGACGGCTGAGAGAAGGGGTGGATGAAGAGTTCAGGTTCAGATTTCTTTTCCAGTGACCACTGTATATGCAAAGAAATTGAAAGAAAGTGCAGAGACAATAGTGCATAGTCAAAAGATGGGAAGGGAATACCGTATTTCCTTGATTCTAAGTTCCCACTGCCTGCACGACGCACCTTCGACTTATTAACCACTTTTAATGGGGGGAAGACAAAACAAAACAGAAAACACTAAGTTAAATGTATGAATCATACGACAGATCCTGGGTTTTGGGCATCCCGGATTTCTGAAAGCATCAATGTGAAACTACAGACCTTACAGTGGAGGAAATATTGCTGTTGGTCAAAATGTTAGGACAGGTGATTCCTTCTTTCTGAGTGGAGGTGGCTTTTACGTTTGTGGGGGGTGGGGTATTTATTTTTTACAACACTTGGAAACTTTTCTCCAATGAGCAGAGCTTAACCGTATTTTCCCCTTTAAACGTTAAGGTGCTAGTGAATTTTCCATCTTGATCTGTTCACTAAATCTCAGACCAGGGAAGCCGGAAAAGCCTGGGCGGTTTGTTTTCCCATCGCCCTGGGTGTTCACAGGGTGAAAGAGCAGGTCTCTAAGACTGACCGGTTGTCAGAAAGTTGGGGTGGGATGAGAGGCAGCAGGGGCGGCTGCATCTCCCAAGGGTGCTCCCACCAGCAGGGGCAGTCAGTGCTGCCACGGGGACCCATTCCCACCTGGTTGCTTGTTGTCGGGTTTAAGGCCCTCGATCCCGGTGGGCTTGAAGCCCCCATGGGCCCACTCCAACATGGGCTTCAGCTGGTCCTCCAATGAGTCTCCGGGGCTGTTGGGGAAGGTCTTGCCAGCCCGCACCCTGGCTTTCTGGTGAGATAAAGGCGAGTCTGTGATGAACAAGAGGGGTGGGTGCGCCCCAGGCAGTACCCAGGGATTCCCCCAGCTGGGGCTTGGCATTCCCCTTCACACTGGGCCTTTTCATAGCCAGGCAGCTGTCCTGGGTATGGTATGTGGCAGGGAGGAGGGGCCTGTGCAGGGAGACAGGCAGGGGGCCACAGGGGAAGAGTGAAGTCTTTCCATGCAAGCACCGAATACAGGGACCTCTTCCCTGTAGAGAACTTGTGTGGTGAGCTCCTTCTCAAAAGTAGCCCTGCTACTTCTAAATATAGGAGTAGTATCATCAACAAAGAGAAAGCTCTACTTTTCTTGTCTTATGTCCCTAATGAAGATGGGGAGGTGTCAAATGTTAAGTCCCATTTCAAAAGCACCATGAAAATTCCTGATTAACAACCACGGCTGGTCCACAAATGCTGGACAAAGGTTCAACTCAAGACAAAGGAAAGGAGAGAGCCTGCTGAATCCCACAGACAAGGGGAAAGCCTCAGCGGCTGCCCAGTGTTGGTCTTGAACAGCACCACTTAAAGGGAGGAGGTTCTGACGGCTCTAGAAAAACATGTTCATTGTTGTGAACATTGTCTGCCACTTTCTGCTGCCTCATTCAGTCGGCAATACTGAGAGAGCCACCAGGAGTAAGCGGAGGTAGTACTTAAGTCTCACATCCCATCACTCCCTCTACAGCCTGACCCATTAGACCAACATGCTTGTATTCACCTCCTGCCTGGCGGCCCTGTCCCTTCTAAGGGTTACACTGTGACCTGTGCTGGCCTCTGTAGTGTCTTGTCTTAACCCTGCTCTGGGGGCCAGGTCCTCACCACCCACCACTGTGTTACCTCCAGAGCGTGGTACATGGCCTTCCTATAAGAGACCAGTTTATTGAAGGTCGCCAGATTAAAGTGCTGGCTGAATAGCCCCAAGGCCACCAGCTTATCTGCGGAGACCTAAAAGAGAAAGACATCATCAGCATCTACCTACAGCCTGCATCTGGGGCGCCCTGTCTCTCACAGGGCTATTCCAGGGGATAAGTTCAGATTCAAAAACACAGGAGAAGAAAAAAGGAGAAAATAGAAATGGTACATATACTCCTGATGTGCCCTATAGCCAGAAGCATGGTGGATGATACTCCCAGTGTGAGAAAGTATGCTGCTCCAAGTGGACTTAATTAGATGCACCCTGAATTTCTATATATTTTAAGAGCAAATGATCCACATGGTCTCTGCTACGGGCCCCTTGCCGGTCAACTTAAAATTCTGTAGATGTTCCAACACTGGGGTTTGTATATGTTCTTCCTTCCTTCATGAAGGAGACAAAGAGCTGTGATTACTGCTTAGCCTTTTATTAATTGAACTATTTATTGTGTGTTAAGAGAACAGTGATTAGCACAGAGTAAGCACATTTTTGTTATTGTGATTTGCTGATATCCATTGGGGTTAAAGAGCCATAAATTTCCATGTCCCAAGTCCCCAGGCCATGCAGAAACCAATTAGGCCACCGGTGGGAAGGGATGAAACCGGGCGTTCCAGGATGCTGTTCAGGCAGAAAGACACAAGAGATGCTTCATTCTCCACAGGACGCGCTCACACTCACCTCCATTTTGCACCTCTGGCCTGACCTCCCACAAGGGGGCTGTTCCCATTTTTGGTGAGAAGACACTTTGGCTCAACAATAGATGTGCATTGAAATGCAGGTGTTGTTCCCAATGCAATATGCAGGCTAAGCACAACTGACGGTAATCCCCTCCCATGCACTGACAGTCCCACGCTTCATCTTATTAGCATTAGACCCAGTCTTGCAAAATGCATTTTATGTCTCACTGAGCCAAAACGGTAACAACAATACACGTAAAAGCATTGCCCACATCCCAGCATTTAGATGCTTCAGACAGAACAGATGCCTGGACATTTATTTGTCCTTTTGCTCCCTCTGCTGGCCAAAGAGGACATCAGCATGCAGGGAGAGTTGGTCTTTGGGACCATCAACGTGTTCATAGCAAATGGCCCAGAGGAAGCCCAATTCATAGGAAAACCAAGAACTTCAACTTGAGGTCAAATCCCACAATTTACTAGACAGTCCTTAATTCCCACATCTGCCTCCATCTGGGCCCAACTTGCTGTGCTGTGTCCTCACCTAACCTCTGGGTATACTGAATGAAGACTGGACAACCACCTCCAAAAGAGACCATCCCAGGAAAACTTGTCTACACCATTCTAATCAACACCTGCAGATTTCAGAATGTGCCTTCAAACTGGGTATAAGAATCAACACAGCCTAATTCATTTGTCTAGCACTGCTCTTACAAGGCAGACTCTCAAGAAAGATGATCTTAAAATAGCTAATATCAATAACCAAGAAACTCTGAAATAACCAACTCTGCAAAGTTTTTTATTACTGTCACCAGGCAATCCAGCCCCCTCTCTAGGACTAGCCAAAGGTACCGCCCTCCTCCCCACCTCTCCAGGGCTACATTGAGACCACCCTTTCTTTTTTGTCCCAAAGAAAGAAAACCAACAGGCTACGGACCCTGAGGACTTCCCACCTCTCTCTCCTGTAACAGTGGACTGAGCTCTGGGACCCACAAGACCCTGTGTGTCTGTTTAAACAAATTAACAAGGAAAATTTGTCATTCCTCCTAGATACAGAGTCAAACATAGCCTCACCCATCTGGAAAGAGAAAGTCATAGGCTGGTATCCTAAAAGGAAAGGACAGAAAACACTGCGGGTCTGCAGGCCCACGAGGGCCTACCTAACCCTGGACTCACCTCGGAGAACTTGCCATCGCCAAACCACTGGACCCACCGCATCCCGGACATGGCCTGGCGCTTGGAGGTAGCCTTCCAAGACACCACCATGGCAGGCCACCAGGAGAAGCCCTTGATCTTTCCCCACACAAGGTCCCCTATTCCAAACTCCTTCCCATCCTGGAAGATAAACCACACGAAGGAATCCTCATGAGACAGACTACCTGGGCCAAGGGAAACTCCTGCCCAGCCCACTGACCCCAGTGGCTACCGCCTCAGGGTCCCAACTCGGGGCCTCCTATAGGGGCCCAGGAGGCCTCCTCAGGAAATTGTCTGCCCACCTCCAACACTGAAAAACTACAAGTGAGAATGGCTGAACAATAAGGAGCAGTGGATGGGCAGGACGGGTTGTTTGACAGGAACATGGGATTTATTACATTAGATTTGCAACCATTCATCTAGCATCTAGGGTTGAAAGATGTCAACTAAAAACTCACAGGAAATAACATCAGAGTAAAATAATGACAATCAGCTGAATATTCTCACCATAAGCCATCAGATGGGCTATCATAAAGCCATTAAAATGAAAAAAATAATTTTAGCCATTTGCACGCAGCTTGCCATAAAATGTGAAGTACCCATGAAAATAAGCAAGTTAATATATTTATAGTAACATCTACTCTGCAGTAATGTAAAAAGAAAAAAGGACTTCAATGCAATATATGTGCATACATATGTACTAGATATGCAGCAATGCCTGAGTGAAAAGCTGTTTGTTAATTATGAACACTAGATGGATTATACAATAAGGAATTACAGACATGAAAGTGAGATAACTCTATTTCCTAATAAGTGAAAAGAGACCATCAACAATTATATGTATACTATGATAGACAGAATAATATATTATGTATACACTGTGATGAACAGAATATATTATGTATATGAAGCACATGTTTCCAGGTATAAATATACAATGTTCAGAAAAAGCAGGAATCAGGTGCTTGAGATATGTCTGGGAGATAAACAGGGTAAAGGATGGTGATACAGGTGAAACACATACTTGAACTCAACCATTATGCCAAAAGTGAAAAAACTGTATTAACAGTCCCCTCTGGGCAAGTCTGCTTTTTCTCCTAAACTCAGCCCTTGCTGGTCGTACCTGATACTCGGTGCCATCCGCATCTCTGCCGTCTGCATCCACCTGTGAGAAGTCCAAGTTCTCCTGCTGGCTGTCCTGGGCCAGGCGGGAGTAAGGGGTGCTGCTGCTCTGGGGCACCACACTGTCATCTGTGAGGTCGATGGTGAGGTAGGAGCTGTCAGGGGACGGCCACGGTGTGCCTGCCGAGGACGCTGCCCGCCGTCTCAGGGACTGTGGACAGAGGGACACATAGCTGGGGCCACAGCAAACCAGGTGGAAGACCAGAGATCAGTGGCGCCCCCAATTGCTTCCCAGGCAAGCAGAAAGAGCGAAGGCCTATGCCAAAGAGTACAGAGACCACTAAGAATGGTTTTCCAGGACCAAGTACCCCTTAAGTGGTAGGAGAAAGCCACTTCCACCAAAACAGAGAATCGAGGACAAAGGCATAACAATGACGAGTGATGCCAGGAGGCTCACAGAGCCAAGCTCAGAGAGGACCACTGACTTCCTCAGTGCTTACTGTGTGCCCAACCTTGCAACAGGAGTGGTGAGTTGCTGTAACCCCTGGGGCTGCCTCAAGACAGTCAATGAAGATACCAGGGAGACAAGACAGTTCTGGAAGTCAGTGGTTTCGAGCTCATTTCCGAGGAGGGGCAAGAACCCAGTCAACAGGTAATTCTTGCATTCCTGCCAGAGTTCCATCCAGGATCAGGCCAGGAGAGAAGTCATCAGGCTTAAGAGAAGCTTACCCAGCACCCAGGAGAGAAAGGAAAGGCAAGACCCTGAAAAGGAGAGGAGTGTGAAGAACAGAAGCGGGTTAGGGTTATACACTGGCTGCTTTCGGTGGTGCAGTGAGAAGAAATCCTTCCAATGAGAGACAGGGGCGGGGGTCTAAGCGTCCGGGGAACAAACCCTGGTAGCTGAGAACTCCACGGGGGACTCGTCCACGTGATTGCGGCCCTGCCGGCCTCGGGTGGAACGTAGGGAGGGCCTGTGCCTCTCTCGGCTAGAGGCACTGGTGCTATTTCGGGTTCGAACCTGGAAGCAAGAGAGGATAAGCACGAGGCCTTTGGTGACTGCAGGCACGAGGTCTCAGGCAGGGGGCTGAGAGGTAGCCTCAGGTCAACAAGAGTACATGAGGTAGGTAAGGGGGGAGATACTCTAGACTAGTAACCTCCCACCCAGAATCTTCCCCAGTTCCTGTGATAAAGGGTTAGGGTAGCCAGCAGGGCTGACAGACAATCCACAACAGATCCCACTGCCTGTCACAGCTGAAACTGGCACCTGCAAATGGAACTGAAAAATAAAAACCAAGTTTACTCCAAACCAAACATTTATTTTTCCAAAAAGCATTAGAGTAATTAATTATTGCACTCTTCAGGAAGGTCCTGGATCCTCCAGATGGATGAGAAGCACTTGGGCTGCTCCCTAAAAATGGCACAAACTTGGGGGCTGCAGACCTGTGTTCGAATCCTACACAAGAGTTACTGTTGAACCACGGGTAAGTTACCAGAATCTTCTCTCATCTGTAAAAAAGGGCAGGAGACACATCATATCCTAGAGCAGAGTATGATTATAAAGTGCACCTGCAGTGGTCACCAAGCGTTAGCCGGCTCTCTAACGTGCTGGCTGACTGCGAGCAGCAATAAACGTTTTCCCATTGCCAGACCTCTAAGTCACAGAGCCCACCTACAGAGCCAACTATCATAGGTAACAGGCGCTGAGCCAACCACCTGCCAACTCTATCGCTCGTGGGCACTTCCAAGAGCGTTTCAAGCCTTTAAAAACTGCCATGCAAAAGAAAACCTTCACAATGATAGTGCATGGGTCTTGCTGTCATTGTTCTAGTTTCAAAACATCTGTTTACCTCTTCAAACCACGCCCCCCAACCCCAGGAAATCCAAAACATGTTTTTCACACAGGACTCTGAATGGCTGGAGGCGGTGTCTTGGCGCGGGGTAGGGGGACTTACAGCAGGGCTTTCAGATCGAGTTCTGGTTTCCCGGAACAGTTTTGGCATCACTGGAGTGTCAGCGCCATCGCCATCTTCCCCTTCATCTCCCTCGCCCGTCAAATCCTTTGTAAGTGAAACATTATGAGCTTCAGGGTATCATTGACAGGTCATGTAACCAAAATGGTTTTAAAATGAACAACACAGTCATATTGAAAACAATCTTACTATTGGTCCAAGAGACCTAAAATATTTTCACCTCATTTTGTTCCAAAAAGATTTTATAATGGCTCTCACCACAAGATCATGAAATCAAGACATGATTGAAAGACAAAACCCCAGTGGAAACAGAAAACCAAAGAAATGGTGTAACAGCATATGCATCTTGAAGACTTCTGTGTCTACCACTTCCACTGATTTGGCTCTGCCTAATAGGAAGACCTGGTCCAGTTTCAGTGTCTGGGAGAAATCGCATCTCCTTAACACAATGACCAGGAGGAAATGGCACCAACTCTGTGTCCCATCATGAAAACCCCCTAGTGAACGTCCCATGCTACAGACCAAAATCCAACAAAAACTGAGGGCAGGAACAAAAGCGGTGGCATGTGGCCCAAGGTCCGGCCTGGCTGGAGTCTTAAGAACTTGATTTTTCACTTGCCAACTGGATGGCCTTGAGTAAGTCCATTCCTCTCTTTAAAATTGGATCAACAGTTCCTTCCCTCACTAATACAACAGAGTTACAGTGAGGATCAGATAAAGCACACTTCCCCCAAGGCCAGCACAGAGAAAATGCTCAGACAGGAGATATCGTTCCTATTGCCAGTAACTGTCCACCAGCACAGTCGCCCTGGGCCTCTCATCCAGCCCACGGCCCCCGCCCTCTGGGTGCCCACCCGAACAGAAGCTGTGTGAGGGGGAGCTTTCATTCGCCCACGACTTTTATCCATGATTTTGTCCTTTACGCCTGACACTGATGCTTCAAAAAAAGTTAACCAAGTTGACAAAACTCAAAGATGATTAACAAGAAGACAGAAGGCATAAAGAATGTTAGGATTTTTTTTTTAATGGAAAAAACGGTACCTTGGAAAAAAACGATAAAGTAGAAACCTTGAAACTGCAGTGCACATTAAGAGATATAGTAGTGATTGCTAAAAAATTCCCTAAAACAAGCCAAGCAAGTTCTTTCCAAAGTGCATTGAAACCAGACACAGATATAAGAAATAAAATTATACATCCATTTCATTCATGATATAAAAAATATATCAAATTCCAAACATAACATGACCAAGTTGAAGTTGGACACATTCCAGGAATAAAAGGACAATTTACGACATTAGGAATTTATCAATGTAATTAATTGATCATCCAGACTGAGAAAAAATTTCAAAAAATATGAAGAAAGCAGTTGGTCAAAACACTCCTTAAATTAGTAAAATAAATGTTTATGATTTTTTTAGAAAACTAGGCATATAACTGCAGCAAATGCCACACTAAGTATGAGTTTGTTCAAAATGTTATGTGCCTGGCAGTCCTCGTATTCGTCATCAACAAGTATTTAGTGGGCACCAATTTAGGTGGACCATATGTACCCCATTTAATGAAAGCTAAAGGGAATTCCCCTGAATCCTGAAAAAGACAGAGTCGAGTCCATACCTGAGTATAACTTAGCAGGCTGGAGACCTCCCTCCTGGACAGTCGTGAACTTGATCTGCGGCCTGTGGAGAAAGAGAACCGGAGTCTGTTTTGTGGAAGGTGCCTTGCGCCAGGCTGGGCAGTAGCCATGTCTTCGTTTGCTGACGGGCGGCCCTCTGTGGCCTCCTCTCTGGGCTACGGCCTGGGATCTCGCTAAACTCACTGCCATTCTCAGGGGTTAACTGCTAGACACTCAGGGCCCGTATTCACCTCGATGTATTCACAAGGCAACAGTTTACAGGACCAGGCACATTATAGGACCAAAAACAATACTAAAGGTTCTCATGAGAGAAGGAATCAAATTCCTTCCAGAACTGTGTTGCTCAATTCAATGGCCACTAACTACACTTAAATGAACAATCACATGCCTCCCACATCAGCCACATTGCAAGTACTCACATGTGGCTAGTGGCTATTGTAGTGAGCAATCCAGAAATAGAACAATTTTACCCTCGCAGCATGTTCTATTGGACAGTACAGTTCAAGGAGTTGTCAACAATAGGATGGGACAATAACACAGGGTTTTTTAACCAGCTGTGTTAGAAAATCTCAGTGCGGAGGACGCTAAGTGATAAGACCTGGGAACTGCTGAGGTGAGGGCAGGGCAGAAGGAAGCAAGCCTCAGCCCCTCCAGCCAGAGTGTTTTCCTTCCTCCACCATCAGTCCCAGATGCAAGGGGATGGGGTCCCACTGCAGAAGATCCTAAGACCTCAGCCGATGCTGCGACCACCCCATTGTGACTAGAAAAAAACAAGGGTCATCACCTTGGGGTCACCTCCTCAGAGTCCCAGACGCAGTGAAAGGAGAGGAAGGAGGTCAAGGGCTGTGGCAGGGATGAGAAATGGACGTGGCCCTGGCTACATCCTCTTTGCTTCCCTGGGAGGTGTGGAGGTTCTCAGGGACCAGAGCCTCTCCCCACCACCTGCCTGCAGACTGCTGGAAGGGAGGCGCACGTCCCAGCTGCCGTCCAGTGTCTGCCCCATCCCACCTCCCCACAGCCCGGCCACCTCTTATCTCAGGGGTGCTGACAGCCTCCAGGATTGGGGGTGAGGGTGCATCCTTGGAGTCAGAAGACTGGTCGCTGCAGCCCCCATTGGTGATGATGGAGTCCTCCCTTCCGCTGGCATCCTCCTCTCTGTTGAGTTGTCTGGTGTCTCCCTTCATTGTTTCCTGTGGGACGGTCAGAATGGATAGGGTAGCAGTGACACAAGGGCTCGAAGGGGCAGCACAGCCCCAAAACCCCAAACTTCCCACCTATGGCTCTATGTCCTTAGGTCAAAAGAGGCCCTAGGACATATTCTCAGGGCGATACCCCTTCCAGGGACCCCACCGCCCAGGCTGCCCCCCCATAGCCAACCCCCCTCACCAAACTCGGAGGCTCAGGACTTGGTTCCATGTGGCCAGGCAGCCCAGAAGGCTCAGAAGCCAGCACCCAGGACAGAGGAAGAGGCTGGGCCTTGGTCTGAGGATCAGTCAGGCTGCTCTGTGCAATTAGCCGGCCACTTCAAACAATGCCATTTAGGACCCGCCTGCCCCAGCCTGCCCAGGCCTGCCTGCGGCCAGTCTTGGTCCCCACTGCCCCTGGCCCCTTCTCCCTGCCCAGTCTCTGCAGGGCCTCAGGAAGCCAGTGCATTATTTTCCCTCCTGACCCCTTTGTTTGCTCTCTCCCTTCCCCTCAATCTCCAGGTCCTCTTCCCACCGCCCCCTCCTTCCCCACAGAACAGCTTCTCTCTTCTCCATGGCAGCACAAGCCCCGCCTCATCCCAACCTCGGGGGCCCATTGGTCTGCTTGCCTGTCACTCTCTCCTCTCCTCCCTCACCAGCTGGGGCTCGGGAGTCCCAAGTTCCCAAGAAGGGAAGGGATGGAGAAGGCACAGGCACAGCACTGGGGCAGTTAACAAGGGGTATGCCCCCGATCTGCTCCAGCCTCACCCCACTCTGGGCCTCATTTCCCCACTGCTGCCCCTCCTGGTCGCTGCATCATCGCTAGGCAATTCAGCGAAGACCGACCCAGGCCAGGCCTTCACAAATGGGTTCAAGGGCTATGTGAACTTCGACCTGGCCCACTGCCTGCATTTGTTGGTAGCCAGAACCTGCACCTTTCTCTCATTTACTCCTCCTAATATCATTGTGGGCCCATTTTATAGAAGACAAAAACTGACACACAAACCTTACTACTGTTCAGTTAAAATCCCACTTTTCTTTTAAAGATTTTATTCCTTTACTTTTAGACCGGGGGGGGGGGGGACGGGGGGGGGGAAGAGGGAGAGAAACATCAATGTGTGGTTGCGCCTCACACAGCCCCCCACCCCCCCTACTGGGGACCTGGCCTGCAAACCCAGGCATGTGCCTTGACTGGAAATCAAACTGGTGACCTTTTGGTTCACAGTCAGGCATTCAATCCACTGAACCACACCAGCCAGGGCTCAAAATCCCATTTAAGGAGTGGGGCCAAGGCAAAATTAGAGCCTAGGTACAGGGTGAAGCCCCAGGCTCCTATATCCTAGTTTCCCCAAAACAGCACAAGAGGTATTTGGCACCACACCTTCATGGCCTGGAGTCCAGCTTGGGAAACCTTCCCCAGCAAAAGGCTGCCCTATGGGCACTGAGCACTCTCGGTCCCTGAGCCCCGTCTTACGGACTTACCATGTGGTGACAGATTACGCACGATGCCAGGTGCCAGCTGAACCGCAGTGCCAGAAGACCTGCAGGGCCACACTACCCACACTAGCCCCCCAGGGTAGCTTCTAGAAGCATTCATCTGGACTGCACGGCTGCAGCAGTGACGCTGGTGCCGTGCCCACCAGGGGGCGCTGTGGGACTCTGCCTAAAGGGGCCTAAAACGCTCTCAAATGAATTCCCAATGTCGGGGCAGAGGGGTGTCCCTATTCCATCCTCTGCACAGACAGGGCAACTAGACCTCTTCCATTCTCCATATGGCCCAAGGACCAGTACCCTTTCAATCACCTAGGAACTGGTTAGAACCAAACAATCTCTGGTACCATCCTAGACCTGCTAAATCAGAATAGACATTTTCACAAGATCCCTGGCTGATTAATATGCAAATTAAAGAAGCACTGTTCTGGTTATAAATGTATAAACTTATAGAGAGGACAACCGTGGTATTTACCCCGTGGGGTCTAGGCTGTGAAGGCTCACAGCTCCTCATCTGTTTTCTCTCACACCTGTTACTGAATCTCACTCACCAGCCCCAGCTCCTTTCATTGCCAAGCCCTGGCCTGGGAGAACTGGCTAGCTGACGTATGGCCAGCTCTGGTGAGACCGAGCAGCCAGAATCCCAGGAAAACTGCTGGAGTGTGGTTCAAAGTAATAATTAATTTCCTACATTTCACTCCAGGCCAAACCAGTGAACTAAGTAACCTGGATGGCCTGGCACAAGGTGGGAAGTTGGGCTACAAGGTGCAAGACACCAGGAGATCCATGGGGAGCTCTGGGGAGGGGTAGATGAGGTTTTTAATCAGGAGCTGGCATCAGGTCAGATGCTGAGTCAAAGGGCATGGCTTCCGTCTCATCTGGGAGACCCAGACTTCCCTCAGACAGCCTCTAACTGGGTCAATCAGCTAGTCAGGCCCAGGTAAGCCTGCAGCCCAGAGCTGACAATGATTAACTACCGCAGGCCATCCCCCAAGGCCTCGGCAGTGCCAGCTTGTGCTGCCAGCCTGCCTGAGGGACATGTGAGCAGAGCACCTTCCCAAAGTCGGATCTCAACATTCAGGGAAAATCTGCCTCTAGAACCAGATCCCTGGGCCCTGGAGGAAGATTCAGGGCGGGGGGAACAAACCATCTCTGTGTCGCCAGCCACCCAGGTGCTGTGTGGTGAGCTGGGCAGGTAAAACACTCTTTCCAGTTGCATAATTCAATGTGAATTCATAGAATATCCTTCTCTATAGTTTTCATTACTCTAGGTTTTTGTGATGACATTAACTACCTTGGCTGCCTTACTGTCACAACAAACAGCAGCATGCAGAATCTGCACCCATGACTGAAAGATGCCCAGCTCAGTTCCTCTACCCCATCCACACTCTACACGGAGACGAATGAAGCCAGCCCCCAGGCGTGTACGGCTGCTGCTCCCTCGGCCTGGAAGCCCTCCCATCTCCCTACCACTTGCCTCCTTATTACTCAGATTTCAAAAACCACATCTCAAAAGCCAGGAAGGTTTCTACCACAGGCCTCTGCTTCACAGAATAACCATCTGCCCCTCCTCAAGTAAATATACAAATCATCTCACCCGATAATATAGTAATTTTTTCTGTGTTTACTAGATGCTAGGCACCCTTCTCTGCTTCCCCTGTATTAACTCACTCAATCCTGAAAGGTGGTAAATACTATTGTCCTTATTTTACAGATGGGCAAACTGAGACAGATAGATTAAGTAACACAATACATACTTCATCAATGTGACTTGAAGGGCTGGAGTCCAGGAAGTTAAGTAAGAACACACAAATTTAACTACATGCTCTTGGCAAAAGGAAGAAATTTGTGATCCTAGTGATCCAAGGCTGGCATTTCCCAGCTAATGTGGGTCCCCAACACAAGCCACTTGCTTCTTCTAGTGCGATCACTTCGGGGCTAGAGGATAAACTAGCTGGGCTACCTCTCTGAAAGAGGTGCCACCTTTCTATGGGATTTTTCCAGTGTAGGTGGCATTCAAGGTTTGGAACTGCGCCTTGCCACTCTGCTCTTGCAGTAGCAGTTCCCAAGCTCCGACTGTAAGCTCAAGGCAGAACAAACAAAACATCTCTTAACCTGCACCTCATCCTGAGGCAGGTCTTGTTATCCATCTACTCTTAACAGGCTCAGGTGAATTAATTAAGTCACCCAACAAAGTGGCAGCACCAAGACTCATGCCCAGGCAGTCCAGGGCACGTACCCGGAGCTACAGGAGACAAGGCTGGCGAGAATTATAAAGTTGTAACAACCCATCCTCCATCCCAGGGGCTACGGTTTTTTGGCTGAGGGATGTGATATACCAGCAGAGTGTTTACCTTGACAGGAGGTGGTGTTCTAACTTCCTGCTGCAGGGTGAACTCTGACCTTTTCCCAGAGGCTGGGGTTCAGCACGTGATGGACGAGTGGGCAGCAGTGCAAGGAGGGATCACCCTCAAGGTTCTCCCTGCAAGGCCCTGCCTCATTAGTGAAGGGCGCTTCTGTTCAGACTGAACCAGGTCAGGTGTGTCCAAATGCAATGTGGCAGACAGAAAAGTGAATGGCACCCCCAATTAGACTCAGGGAGGTGGCTGTGGAACACCCCCTCCCGCTAACCACCCATAAGGCTCAGAAGTGATTTCATTCATTTCCTCCAGGCTGGCACCAGCAACAGAGCCATTTCACAGCACCTTGTAAATGTTAATTGCATTAATTAAACTCACAATGCAGGAAGGGGGGTTGAAGGGTATGACCAGGAAGTGGTTGGGAGGGGGGCCACTTGGGCATCCCTGCCCCACCATCAGTCCCCCAGGGATTAGAGAGTCAATGAAATAAAAAGAGAGAGGTTAAGATGTTTGCACCTCCCCTATTTAAAAATGCCTTTTCCACAGCCTGTGGGAGGGAAATCTAGACTTCTGAATCTTTCCCTTGAAGGGTTCAAGTCTTTCTTAGCTGTTCCCACTGTCCAAAGATTCCAAAATAGCTGAGAAGGAGCAATTACTATGTACCTCACCGAAAAACAAGCGACTCATGATTGCCCCACTTTGCAGATGAAGAAACTGAAACTCAGAGAAAGCAGATCAGCAGCCCCCCTGCCCAGGCTCACCCAGCAATTAAATGATGGGAGATTCCGGCTTAATCCAGGGGACAGATCCTGAAAACACCTCAAAAACAGTGTGGTAAACATAGTTGTAAAAGTTAAGCCCAGAGAGGAACACCACCCAGGTGAGTGGAAAGGCAGGGAACACCAAGCAGGGAGGAGGGTGAGTACAAAGGCAAAGGGGCCTGGAACAGGCTGCCCAGCTGGGGGGTAGCAGAGCACAAGGTCCCAGTTCATTGCCTTTGCCTAATAAGAAATCTCCACTAAATTCCAGAAAAGATCAGAGTCACAGGAAAGCAGGAAAGCAAAAGCCTTCAGTGTTTTTTCTCAAACCCCAGTTTTATCATCTGTAAAACTGGGGTGACCCTGCCTAATTGATTCCCTGGGTGGTTAGGGCTCA